TTTTGGGGTTTTTTGTTGTTCTCCCGCCCTGGCGGGGGGTCGGGCTAGAAGATCTACTAGGTCCCTCCCGACCCTTAATCTATGAATCTATGAAAATCATTGTCCGTATACATTGTGATGATGTGAGTTAAAGTCAAATGGATTGTTACAGGTGCAGTAGCAATTTGTTGCCTTATAAAGAGCCTGATTTATATGAGGAGTTGTAGGAGTTGACTAATATGAGGAGTTATAGTCAAAATACATGTTTAGGAAGTGAAAATCTAAGTGCTTTTTGTTGCTTTAGTTATAAGAAAAATAATTTTCAACTCTAAGTCCTGTGTTCTGCAAGTTAAATAGACCTGCTTCCTAAAAGTAAACTACTGACTTCATTGGAGTTTTTAAGGAGTATTATTTGCTGAGGGTGATGAACTGGTTTGAGATGCTAATAATTCATTGCAGGATTAGTAATGCAGGGAAAGAAGTGGGATTTTTATGATTAGAGAGTGAAGTAGGGCTCTGTAGTCAACTGTGCCTTCTACTTTCAGTGGGACATAGGCATGGCCCTTAATCTTCATTCATCTTCTTTTCTCCCCAGGTCTATCCTTTGAGGTTGTTGGACAAAAGACACCATGAAAATGTCTAGTCATAATTTTTATTCCAGTTCAGTTAACTGAGCAAAACTCAATTGATATAAAATTTTTAAGTAAATAAACTTAAAAAAGGGTTTGTCTTTACCAGGTGTTTGGAAATTTTGCTCAGATAAAATTTTTAAAGTCTGAAAGGTCTATGTCAGTAAGCTGGTTAAGGAGAATTGTGTGTTTGCCCAGAGAAACAATGCAAATTAGTGGATTATGGTAACCTCTTCACCAGAAGAAAGTGTTGCCACTGTTTATTATCAGGTGATGTGTTCACTTCTACATGCTCTTTGTCTGACATGCTCTTTTTTAAGAAAGCTAGGGATATGGGTGGTGGGGATGGAAAATGAAGACATCCTTAATACTACAATGCTAGTTAGCAAAATTACTTATACCCATCACCTAACTTCTAAGCAGGGGGGATGTGATGATACAGGGGTTCTCTGGTACCTCAGCACAGACTGTGGAATAAAAGCCTAGATAAGAGAGATAAGCAAGGACCACCAGCTTTGCCTCACTGGAGGGTATTTGCTCTATGCAGACCTATACTGACCATATGAGCAGGAAATAAAATGGTGAAAAAGATGAGCAGGGGTACAGCTCTGCTGATCTTTCATCTCTAAGACTGAATGTGTATCGATGTGGATGCTTGAATGGAACTTGCTACACCATATTTGTTAGGTATCAGCATTCATTGGTCTTTTGTTTTCAGCGACTCCCTGCTGGGGTAAATGAGCAGGATCTCTGAGCTGAGTTGCTTAAGTTACTTATCTTTTGATCCTATTTTTTTCCTGCTTCCTTTCCAGTTCGATGCATGTTTATTCAGACTCAGGACACTCCAAACCCAAACAGTGTGAAGTTTATTCCAGGGAAACAAGTGCTGGAGTCGAGGACCATGGAATTCTCAACACCAGCTGCAGCATTTTGCTCACCATTAGCAAGGTACGTTCAAGCACATAAGAATTTGTTCAGTAGTCCCTGTATGGACATTTTGAACAGAAACTGAAAAATGAAGGGCAGGTCAGCTGTATGTCTGGACTTGATGCTGCTTCTCTTGCACAGTAGCCAGAAGTCCTAGAAATGACCATTGCCCCAACTAACGTATTAAGGTTTCTACACTGTGCACATCAACAGAGTAATTTGGTACCTTGTGATCTACTTCATGATTCTGATTAGGCAGTGTTTTGTTGCAACCTCGGGTGCTGAGCCAGCCCAGTCTTGCTCATGTGAATAGCCCTCCCATAAGTCATGCATCTTCAGAGTGTAATGACACAGGCCTCCTATGGAAATAAACATCACAGTGGAAACAACATATTAGTTTCATCTCATTTTGAGTCTGTGAACTTTTCAAGGCATTGCCTTTTTCTTTTTTTAAAACCTAGATGTGTTGTAAACAGGCCAGTGAACAGGTGAGTTTTGTTTGGCATTTTCTTTTCCCTCCACCCTTGGTCTTGTTCACATGCAATCCTCTGTAAAGGCATGTAGGGCACAAACCATAAAAGATTTTTAGAGGTGCATCGATATAGTGATTCTGTGTTGGATTGGCACCAATAAAATTAAAATTAACATCATTGGCTATCAGGTTTTTTTTGGCCGGGTAGCTAATAATGTCATAGATTAATATAATTAATTATACCTTCTGGCTGGAGCCTGTGGATGCCACATGCAAGTGCACAGCCACACACACATGGCCAGGAATGCAGCCGGGCAGCATGAAGAGCAGTGGCCTGTAGATAAGTCTATGGAGGGGAAGGGGTGTGGGGGAGGGAAGGGACAGGGATGGGGGGGACAGATCAAGGCCCCCCACAGTGAGGGAGGGAGAGGGGCAGTGGCTGGGGGTGCTGCCCAGCTTGGGTGGTGAATGTGACCCAGGGCAGGGAGTAGGATAGAGCCGTGGGCAGCTCATCCAGGGGGCATGGGGGAGAGAGGGGAGAAAGTGCAGGAGAGGTGGGAAGTGGGGGCAGCTCCCTGCTGCTGTGTGCACCCCCCCCAGATTTGTGTGTGGGGCAGATGCAGGTTGCCCACTTCAGGCTTGGGGCTCCCTGCTCTGCTACTTTTCACTTGGGAGCCTCACACTGGCTGTGCATCCCCTGTCCTCCCGGCGGCAGTGGAGGCAGTGAGTTGTCCCTTCCACTGCTGGGTGGGCAGGGGACACATGGCTGATGAGGAGCTCCTGGGGCAAAGGCAGCAAAGTAGAGAGTCCTGAGCCCACAGTGGGCAGCCCACATCTGCCCTTACCCCACTTGGCTCCACTCTGGTTAAAAGCATTCCCACACTTAAAAATGGAGGTAGTGGCCCTTGAACTAAAGCTTATTTGGCAAGCTTTAGTTCAAGCGGCTCTGCTGCCATTTTTAAGCGCTGGGATGCTGATCCCCTGGATGAGACACCTGCTGCTCTGTCCCACTCCCCACCCTGGCCCTGGGTCCCATTTACCACCCTGGCTGGGCAGCACCCTCAGCCCCTGCCCCACTCCCTTATTGTGGAGGCCTTGATCTCCCCCCGACACCTCTTCCCCCTTCCATGTTCCTTCTCATCCACAGACTTACCTGCAAGGCGCTGCTCTCCACACTGCCCAGCTGCATTCCTGTAAATTGGTTATCAGATTGGTATCAGCTGATATGGCTGGTTAATAATCGGCTGTTGGTATCGGCCAAGAAAATCTTTATTGTTGCACCCCCAAAAGAACTTTTATGCTGTGGTGTTGAATACAGCAAGTTGTGCAGCCAGGGCCTGGGCAAACAAAAAGCATCAAAGACCAGGCTGGGTCAAGAGATAGTTGACTTCTCAGAGCATCGCTGGAGATCTTCAAGAGCTCTGGGTTGCCTAGACCTTTCTTCTTCCTTTGCCTGCCTTAAAATAGGGGAAGTCGCTGGTCAGTTGTTACTAGCTAGCCAGCTGGGAATTCAGGATAAGGTAGAATCACTTTGCTGTGGGGGGCTTAGGCAGATCCTGTTCATTTACTGGTAGATGCAGTGGAGGTGGCAGACTTGGGGAAAATGTCACTCTGTAAAGACTTATGTCCTGGGTTCAAGGCTGCTGTCCTGATACCTAGATTTCCTCCATAATGCATAAGAATTGGGTTCCTGAGACTGGGTTTTATAACTCTTGCCACTAAGGTTTTAGGAATGGAGTAGAAGCTGTCTTTTCTGTTCCAGCATAAGTGCTGAAGGATGAGGAGGAGCAGAAGATCACAGTTCTCAGGTTTTGTAGTTCAATGCCTTTTGCTTCAGCTCAGGAACACACATTTTTCCAAGGAAATTACATCAACTAACAGGGCCAGCAGTGGAAAGAGTGTTTCACAGTTTTGGATGCATTGGAGGGTTCTTGCATCCTCACTATGTTTTGTTAAGGAATGTTTTCAGTCCACTAGTCTACCAAGCAACATTTGACTGCTGTGGTATTTTAAACTATGCATAGCATACAAAGCTGTATTTTTAATGTTTGAAAATGTTCCTGTTATTTGTTGGAAAGTTCCTATTCTCAGTATTTCTCATCATCATGCACACATGTATCTGTGGGAGAGGTCTCGTTTAGTGGTTGCCTTCCTCTCTGTCAGGCATTTCTCCCTTTCATCTGTTTGAACTATTGGAAATACATTTTGTCTCTCTTTTCAGTAGGGTTACTACAATCTTTTGTGTAAAAATGCTTGATTTAGCTCCTGGCAATTCTAAACAGAGTATTTTTTATCTTACCCAGCAAACAAACCCAAATGTGGTAAACCGTCTCACAATTTTTACTTACAATGCTGAGGCGATTAGAGTTAAATATCCTTTATTACTGATATGAGTGATACATTTTAACATTAGATTTGATTTTATTGTCTCAGTTGTGGATCTATGTACAACAATATTATAGATTCATGTCTTGATTTACTACTGTATTTATATTAATAGTGTTTTTATGTTGGTGACCTCTATTTTTAGTATAATATTTGTAGTTTGGTTACTTTGTTCGAACTTATTTATATTACGGTTGTATGTGTGTTATGCTGTCTTCGGGAGCATAGCATTTAGCCAAAATCCTTAATGAATTGAATTGAATTGATGACATGAGTCATTCAATCCATCATTTGAGAATTAAAGTTTTATAGATTTAAACTGACTGCTTTCTGTGGCCATGAAGAGCAAATGCAAGTGTTTAAGGCAGCCTTTTAAACACTCATTCAGTTTGTCTAATTGAAACACTTTAAAACTGTGGTCTTGTTTCTTGTGGGGGGTCACATAGTTCTGCTTAAACAAACCTGCAGGACTCTGCAGCTCTAGGTAAAAACAGAAGTACCTCTGCTTTAGTGGAGTCCCTTGCTAGATTATTTTAATGGCTTTTTAAAGTGATTATTTTGGTCTAGAATGTATAGTTATGGGAAAAAATCAGTTGTGATTCATAAGTATCTTTCTGTAGGCATTTGTGCCTGCAGGCTTCATTTTTGTATGATTTAACTTTTTTTTGACAGACAGTTATTCAGGATTGAAGGAGTTAAAAGTGTCTTCTTTGGGCCTGACTTCATCACAGTCACAAAGGTAAGCCAAAAAAAAAGAGATTTTCATGCTCTAAAATATGAACTAAGACTTCTGCAATCTGCAAGGAAAGATAAGGAAGCCAGAGACAGCTTGCAGATTCTTCTCTGGCTTGCATAGCAAACACTAGAACTATAACCTGCTCTTAAAGTGCCCTAAAAATATTCCCTGCAGAGATTAAATTTATCTCAACTTAATCTCTGTACAAAGTGAAACGTAATTACCATAAAGTTCTGACGTGTGCTGCGTTCCAGCTAGAGCTGCTGAGAATTGCCTACTGGGTTAGAGTAATCAGAGCTACTGAAGACCCCATGAACTGCTGTTTTAGGTGCTCAGCACATTTCAGTTGTTTTGTACAGTCCAAAAAGTTAGATCAGTAATTATTGTCAGTAGCCCTTTTCATCCAGTCTGAATGAATGAAGCCTCACATTTTATAGATGGATGACTTGAGTCATAGGTTAAGCAAGTTGCCTGCACTCACATACTGAGTTAATTAGAGGTGCGCTGATATATTGGTCCATATGGTATCAGCACCAATAAAAGGAAGATTGACATTATTGGCAATTGGCTATTTTTGGCTGATGTGGCTGATAATGTTACTGATAAATGCTGCGTGCATGCATGCAGCCGCAGCACACATGGCCGGGAATGAAGCCCGGCAGCTTGGAGAGCAGTGTCTGGGCAGTAAGTCTGGGGGAAGGGGTGTGGGGGAGGGAAGGGATATGGGGGGGGGGCAGATT